TTGAGACATTGCTTACTATTTTTGACTAAAGTTTGAAGCAACATGGGAAATTCATGAATTTAGTCAGCGATAACATTCCTCTCCACTCCAAAAGCCCTATTACCGGTGGACTTTTTCCCATTTGTCACATGTAAATATGTTAGCTATTAATATTGTTGTGACACTAAAGTTGTCCGTAAGACACAAATAATATCGCTCTATAGACAACTTCATCAATGTAGACATGAACTACGTATTGACCTGGACTTCTGTTTCTTCTTTGCCTTTTCAGTTGGACCCTTTAAGCGATTTTTGCTATGTGCACCCTTTCGTTTAGAGGTTTTGGATTTTATACTTTTATTCAGGTGCTAGGCATGCATGCATGTGCATATTTTAGGTACTTGTGTCATCACACCACATAGGGGTGGGCATAACAGTTTGGTTTAACCGAACCGTACCAAATCGAACTAAACCGAACCAAAACCGGACCGTATGCAACTTGGTTTGAGTTTGGTACTATTTCTTCCAAACCGTATTAAACCGAACCGAACCAAAACCGATAAAAACCGAACAAAACCGAACTCAACAAAACCGATAAAAACCGAACAAAACCTTCATATATTATTAAAAGTAAACAAATCCAAACCGAACCGAATCAAACCAAAAAATAGTATGAATTTTGTTTGATAATAATTCTTCCAACCCATTCCAAACTGAATCAAATCGAAACCGATAAAAACTGAACCGAAACCGATAAAATCCGAATCGAAAACCGATATGCCCAGCCCTAGTGACACCATATATAGAAAAATTAGCAGTTGAAGCGGTATATTTATGCAATCGCCGCTCCATCTATGGCATAATGCTTTCATGCTTTTCCTTGTCATCCGCAATTGCATTTGCAGGAGCTTCAAAACTCTTACATAACTTGTCAAACCATTATTGTTCCTCCGCTGTGAACCACCCATCATAGTTTATTCTGACTTGTGTGTAAGCTCTCTTCACATCTATGCATTATGTATAACTCGCGCAACAGTTTCACTCTATTGCACATTACTGCCATGATCGTATGTCTACGGATAATGCTTCTAAATTAAAATAAATGACAAGTACAACATCCTTCACTCATGACATTGTCATATTCCACTGTGAAGTTAACGGTCTTCTCAAAGCCCTTAATTGTTTTATCTTTATTTACTTGGAATGTTTTACCATCTTCGCACTGAATTAGGTCACAATACACTTTGATGATACCTTCATTTTGAAACTCCTTGAACTTCGCAAGTGTGTACAATCCTTGCAATTGTTTCTCCATTGTAGACTAACCCACAAAATAATTTTTATACATGAATTTGTGTCCTCATGAAACTCTTTTTCTACATTACATCTCAAAGTGATTATATTGCTCCAAAAGTTATTTTAGATTTGTTTTAGAGTGAACATAATCATAGATGAAGGCGTTTGTGCTCTCACTTTGTTGAGTGGTAGACATACCCGTTCTAAATGTAAAATTCAAGTAACAAGGTACCCACTAATGTCGTTCATTGTACATGACCCCAAGCTAATTGTCATGTTCAAATGAATACTTGTGATAAATAAACATTATTATCTTGGCACCTAAATGAATACTTGTGATAAAAATGAATACATGTAATAAAGATGAATACACGTGACATTTATATAATTGTCATATATTCAATAATAAACATTAGTGTATTTTCTGCGCGCAACACAAACATTTTTATAGGAGTCTACGCACTATGAAACCATGTTTCTCTACACAGACCTTGCACTCAGAAGTTATCTGTTCAGCGAAAACACTTAATATATGTATACTTTGAATGAAACAAATAATTATTACATCATATAATGAAGACCTACTGGCGTCATCCAATGCTTTGACACCTGCAACTTCATCCAAGGCTCCAAGCCTTCGACGTCTCCCATCCCCTTATTCAACGACAACCAGTGGCGGACCCAAGAAGTCGGAGTCACGGGGTCCCTACCCTTTTATATCTCTAATCACTAATTAATATAAAACTAATAAAAAATATTAAAGAAGTATAACATTTCATAGTTAACGTACACCATCAAAATATTAAGGTATTATAAAGCAAAAAAAAATTACATATAAAAATCATTCAACAATTCTAGAGATGTACCCTCCTAAGCTTCATTTGTTGGAAATATTCTATAATAGTTTTGGTCTATTTAATTAAAATAGGCCAAAACGACGTAGTTTTGGTCTATTTAATTAAAATAGTTTTGGAAAATAAAAAAGGAGCCCCAAGGGGATTTGAACATGGTACCTCATCCAACATAGAAACCTAAATCCCGCATGTGCTCCCATTCCTCTACGCCATTCTTTCGGTTCTTATGTCGTTTTTTTTATGTAAATATACATTTAATAATTAATTTTATATAATATATATACTCCCTCCGTATCAGATATATCTTCCCACTTGCAAAGTGGGTGAGATTAAGAATAGTGAAATGGGGTATGAATTATTGAGGGTATGATGGGAAGATGGTGAAATAATGTGATGGAATGAAGGATAAATCCAAAAAAGGTAGGTGTAATAGTGTATTATTTTTTAAATTATTGAGGGTATGATGAGAAGATTTAGAAATGAGAAGATATAAATGTTACGTTCAAAAAAGGAAAGTGGGAAGATATGAATGTTACGGAGGGAGTAAAATATATAGGTATTTTTTTCGAGGTGCACAGGGTCCCGGGACCCCGTGGGACCCTTACTGGGTCCGTCTCTGACGACAACTAACGTAGGAGTACGAGTGCTGTCTGCACCTTCCTCACCAATTTCTCCCCATGTCAAGCAATAAAAGTTAACACTTACATATATCCTGCCCGCTAAACTCTATTAAAGAAGATGGAAGGATGATGAAGATGATGACCTCCTTTCTTGCTACATTGTAGCTCCAACGGTTAAAAAAACGGCAGGGAACATTGAGGGAGACAGAGTTGAAACAAGAGAAGAGATATGGTGAGAGGAGAGTGTTTAAGCAATTACTATTTGATAAGCTAAAACTAATTAAAATGGAAACCGTATATTGAATGGTCCTCGTGCAAGAATACTAACAAAGATGACAAGAACCGTGAGAAAGATGTCAAGAAGCAAAATAGAATGATTTTTGGTGTTGTTAGAACGAGTGTCCTTTTGATTACAATTGAGCTCGATACTACTTATAGGAGGAGTAGCTAATGCCTTTTTGTCCGTTATTGACGGTTTCGACCGTTATGATGACATTCAAACTTGTCATAAAGTCGTCATTAAAATTGGTTAGCCCATTTGAGTAATTCCTGTCTTAATTACATTAATAGCTATAATAATACATACAAAACCGTTATAATAATTAGCTAGCATTAAACCTAGTAATTGCGTCATTAATTTTCGTGATCAAGCCTCTTGAATGAAGAATAAGTTGTCAAATTCCTGCACCAACAAAGAGAATGTTGGAGAAATAAAGGATGATAAGAATTGAGTGATTTTTATATGGAGTGGCAAACACTTTTGTTTGAAAAATAACTATTATATAAATGGTCAAACTTCAATGTTTATTATTGAATACTATCCTCCGTTCTTTAATTCTTGCAACAGTTTGATTTTCACGTTTGCCAATGCACAACTTTGATTGTAATTATATTTAATTATGTATTAGTAAACATTATAAAAAGTTGATATTTTGAAAATTCACAATGATAGGAATTCAATAACACTTAATACGCAATAATTTGATTATGTATATTAGTAGAAAATCGTGGTCAAAATAAGGCCAGTGAATAGTGCAAAAATCACAATATTGCAAGAATTAAAGAACGGGGGTAGTATATACTTTGGGAGACTCTAAATTCCATAATATCCAATTGTGATACACTTTTGTGGGAAAACATACTTTCATATTGTGCTTTCATACTATGGATTATATCCTATTTATTGTGGACTTATTATTTGTGTGAAGTTAGATTGTATAAATTCTAATTTTGTGCGACCAATTAACTTTTAGACTATGTTTTATAATTTCTATGATCGAACTAAAATTTATGAATTTATTTTATTATTATAAATATCATGTAATATATGATCACAAGATGAATACTGAACACAAGTACTACGTATGACTTAGAGAATCACCAATGGTGTATGATTGACATTCATAAAAACGGCCAAATCACCAACTTAGACATTACTTGTGATATTTTCATCTCCAATACAATACCTTTGGATTAATGTAATGCTGACATGTGTAAAAAAATATTCTAGACATTGTTAACATGACTGTCATGTGTTAACAGCCTCTTTGACATTATCGATTCAGCAAACGGAGTGGAGGAATACACCAAAAAGTCTAGAAAATCTCCCTCCCAAATAAAACCGTTTCTTGCTATATCCTTTTCTTTTTATTTCTATGCTTTTTCTTTTAAAAAGTGGCTTACACGTAAACCTGTATATGGGCGGTTAACATACTGCATTGGATCAAATTTTTGGGTTTCACTATCTATCCACACGACTCTTGTATGACATGGATGAACATTCCATTTATTAATTGACATATGTTAAAACTTCTTCAATGTTAACAATGTAGCATTAAAGATGCTCTTAATATCTTTGAGTCATTTTAGTTACACTTATATTCTTAAGTTTTATTTTTAAAAAACGTCATTTAATATTGGATAACATATAACGATAATAGGTAAGATGGTAATTAAGGTAATTAATGAAAAATTAAAATTACGGTATTTATAAACGGTAAGACAATTAAGCTGCAGGTCACGTCGAGTAGCTGTCCGGGCAGGCACGAGTCACGGCACCCGTCACGTGACATGTGCAAGACCACACTTTTTCCAGGCAAATTCTAAATAATAAATTGTAAAATACGGAGTATTCATTTCTCAATCAAATTTTGTACGCCGTAACATACATACACTAAATATACAATAAATTCCTCTTTGAAAAAATAAACAAAATACGGAATATATATATATAGTCTATAGATGGTCGCTGAGAGAGAACGGGAAAAGTCACAAAAGCGTTCTTTCTTTGTCTGTAGAGAGAGAAACCCTCCAAAATTTGCACACTGTTCATTCCTCTGCCTTAAAGCTCATTTCCGCTTCACTACACTACCGGAAAGGCGGAATCTCCGGGCAACTCAGAGCTCCGAGTGGTTAGTTTGGCTCGCCGAGTCGACCAGATTCCGACGACTCTCTGCACAATACGTTGAGAATCTCCCCTTTTTTCGTCTTTTCTATACTCGCCGGAGTTTCTGTGTGTGGAATTTACTGCGGGAAATATGGAGTGGCCTACTTACTTGGATGAGTATGAAAAGCTCGTCATTCGCATGAACACCCCTAGGTAAAATTTCTCCAACAATTTTTTATCTTCCTGTTTTTTTCCACTCAAATTTAGTGAAATCTGAGATTTTCAATTAAGCAAATTTGAAATTTTGAGTATTACTCCGTATTATTTAGCTTACCGTGTAAAAGATGTTGTTAGAATCGAAGAAGATATTGAACAGTGGCCTAAGGATTCTAGCGTAGTATTCAAGGTTGTTTGACCATCGTTCACATGTCGCTTCAATTCTGATTAAATTTCAGTAGTTTTCTGGTGATTAGTCTTTGTCAATTCACCTCATTAGGCATTTCAAAATTTACCCTTCCAGCCCATTGTAACTAATTTTTACCATTGCGTTTACAGAGTTATAATCGATAATGCAGGTTGCCCCCGCGCCACGCGTGTTATGGTAAGTTCCAGTCTTCGTTGTTATTTGTTTGAATTGATTAAATAATCAAAAAAGGAAGATTATTTATGCACTTTATGGAAATTTATAGGTGGATAGCGCGAGAAAGCACGGGATACTTCTGGAAGCGGTCCAAGTTCTCACGGATCTGAATCTGTCAATCAAGAAGGCATACGTATCCTCCGACGGTCGGTGGTTCATGGACGGTGAGCGCCTTTCACGGAGACTCTGTTTTTTTTTTCTGTAGTGTGCCACTTTTCCTGGAATACTTCCTACTTGTGAATTCATTTATTAATTCCGTATTAACATAAACAGTATATGTAATTAAATGCTTGGCTCCTCCTTTTCTTAGTTAGGCGGTAATAATTATTACAGTATATGTTTTTCTTTATTCTTTCCTTAACTGTGACGTTTAACTTTTTATTCATTTATTATCTATGGACAGTGTTTCATGTTACCGATTTGGATGGGAACAAGTTAACGGACGAGAATGTCATTAAGTACATTGAACAGGTAATTTAGTGAAGACTTTATTATTGAATCCGTTTTGTAATTGAACCATTCGTGGCCAAAGTTGCATTTTCCATATATTACTCCGTATTTATTATAGCCAAAATAAGTACTTTCAGTTTACGTTTTTATAATCTTTTCCAAATAGGCCTTATTCTGGATTTCTGGTTATTCGACTCTTGTATGGGCTAAAATCTAAAATGGCAATATTCAGTCAAATACACCTACTAAACCGGCTGTAACAAAGTTTGTTTTGTTTTGTTTTCATTTCTTGATTCTTGATTAATAATTTGGTTGTGTTATTAATCTTTGTGACAGTCACTGGAGACAGCCCATCATCCGAGCTCAAAATGTTTTGATGGTTTAACCGCATTAGAGTTAACAGGGACTGACCGTATCGGTTTGTTATCTGAGGTTTTTGCCGTGCTGTCTGACTTAGAGTGCAATGTGGTGGAATCCAAGGTGTGGACACACAACGGCAGGATCGCATCTTTGATCTACCTCAAGGATAACGATTCTGGGTCTACTATTGAGGATTCACAAAAGATAGACAGGATCGAGGCGCGTCTAAGAAACGTTTTAATGGGAGATAACGACATTAGGAGTGCCAAGACGTCTGTTTCCATGGCGGGTACACACACAGAGAGAAGACTTCACCAGATGATGTTTGCTGATCGGGATTATGAGAGGAAGCCAGTGGTCCCGTTAGTGTCTGTTTTGAATTGCCTTGAGAAGGGTTATTCCGTTGTGAATGTTCAGTGTAAGGATCGGACCAAGCTTCTATTCGATGTGGTTTGCACGCTCACAGATATGGAATATGTCGTGTTTCATGCCACGGGGAACACAACCCGAGACAGAGCGCACCTGGTATGTTCCTTGTCCCATTGAACCAATTGTCTCTCTTGTTGTGAGAAATACATAGAATTGCTAATAGGATGCTTTGTTAATTTGTTTTGTTCAGGAGTTCTTCATTAGACACACAGATGGAACCCCAATCAGCTCAGAAGCGGAAAAACAGCGCGTGATCCTTTGCTTACAGGCGGCCATTGAACGAAGAGCATCTGAGGTATGGTTCTTCGAATTTAACTTGATCATTGGTTACTCTCCCATGCTACTTCCTATCCATCAAGGAATACTTAGTTGTTTTTGGTTGATAACTAATGTGTTCAGGGATGCACAAAAAACATGTATATTCACCAAAATGATTTTGAGGCGCTGATCAATGATCATCCCAATCCCATACCTTGTTTAGGCAGAAATCTTGTAAACATGTGATGTGAGAAAACAACTGAGATTTAATTTTACTAAAAACCCTAAATGTTGATAAATTATTCAAACCCTCTTACTGTTGAATCTTCAATTGTGGAGTTTGCAACAAAAAACAAATCACAATAAATATAAATATAGGTTCTGATACCTTATTAAGCTAGGTTAATGTCACCTCAAAAAGACCATCAAGAGGTTATGTAGGATACGTAATAGTCTCAGGTTTATCTAAGGAATTAGTATTGTAAAGACTAAAGAGGTAGAGCCCATTAGGTTCAAATGATCAATTCTGTCTTAATAAGTCCAAGCACACAACATTTTCAAGTTCAAATGACCCTAATGACCTGCTACAACAATCTGCGTCCTGTGAGACGAGTGTTAGTATCTCCATCCCATTTAACTTTTCAATTTTCTAATTTGATTGTCTAAAAAACTTTGTTATTACTTCTGTCTCCTATGCACAAACTTCAGCCCAAAGTTTTTACTTTCCTTTTCAACCTGCGGAAACTCAAAAGTTTAAATGTTGTATGGAACAGGGTACAAGGCTTGAGCTATGTATGGACGACAGACAAGGGCTGTTGGCAGAGGTGATGAGAACCTTCAGGGAAAATGGGCTAAACGTGACAAGAGCCGAGATATCGACGGTCGGAGGCACCGCATCGAACGTGTTCTACGTAACCGATGCCAGTGGCAATGAAGCGGACCCGAAGGTAATCGACGCGGTCCAGCAAAAGATTGGGTTTGGAGTGTTGAAAGTGACGGAGGTGTGTGATGATCAAGAGACAGAGGAGAGTGAGGAAGGCGGGTCAGTTGGTGTGGGTGGGACCATGTTGCTCTCCCTAGGGAGCATCGTAAAGAGGAATCTCTACAACTTGGGATTGATCAAATCTTGCTCTTGAATCTTTCTTGATTGAACCGAATCAAACCTTGGCCTGGCCTGGCGCCGGTGTATAGAGTAGGAAGAAAGTAGAGATTGGTTGGGTGATAGCAGTGGGGTGTTGTTGTTATCACAGTGGGTGGAACATGGAGACATGTGGTTGTGGGGCCCGCCTCCCATGCCAGTTCAGAAGTTTGAAATTTCGGTGAAGGTGTGAACATAGAATTAGTAAAGAGTAGATTGCTTGGTAGGATTCCGGTAAGACGTGGGTTCATATTTGATATGTCTGGAGATAGATACGCTCCGTACTAGGTATAGGGGACAGCCTGGCGGCGGTGATAGAGGAAGAATATTGATTTGTACATACCACTTTATCTTAATTGAATTCTTTGACTTCTGTTCTTTTTTATTAGCACTAGTATTTATATATAAAAGTAATTGTAATATAAAAATGTTATACGGAGTAAAATGTTCTTTTTTAAAGTACAAGTGAAATTTATAAGTTTAGAAAAAATATACCTCAATTTCCTTAACATTACGATATAAGGGAGCAGTATGGACATTAAGAAAAGTAAAGTTGTCAGATTAGTATCAAATTTATAAAAATGCAAATAAAGTAAGAATGATTTATAATCACTTAATTTTAACAAATATATACTCTATATGAAACAGATTAAATGGAAATGATGAAGAAAATAAAATGAGACAAAGATAGGACGGTTTGCGTCATGGGAGGACTAGATAAAATAATCAACTCTAGTTTACTACTCCCTCTGTTCTTTAATATTAGTCCTCCTAGGCTTTGGCACGAGTTTTAAGAGGAAAATAGTAGGGGTAGTGTAAAAGTAGGAAAGAGAAAGAGGTAATGGTAATAAAAGTTGGGGTATAAAAGTATATTTAGAGTAAAAGCTTTCTTTAAATGGAAAGGAGGACAGATAAAAAAAACGTCTAAAAAAGGAAAGGACTACTAAAAAAGAACGGAGGTAGTATTATTAAGGATATTTTTATTTGGATTGTTTTCAGACTCGGATCCGACCAGACCAGACTTTCGTAATTATAAAATGCATAGTGTCTAGACAAATTAGATCAGTTCAGCAAATTTCAATGTAAAAACAGAACTAAACAAAGTTAAAAATAACCAACTAAATAGGGATGGACATAGTATTTGTTATTTTCTTTGTCTTTACCGTTTAACTTCATTATGCTTTTTCTTTGTGTTGACTTTTAACATACGAGAAAGAAAGGATGGAGTAGGGCTTTTCCGCGAATGTTACCAAATTGAAGTTAATTTTAAAAAATGTGACCATTTTTATAAAATGACAAAAATGTGACTAAGAAAGTCACATATTTGAAAAAACATGGTGTCACTATCATTTTTATGTCACTGCCGGATTTTTATGTCACTATCACATTTTTATATCACTTTTGAATGTCACTACCGTCATTGCTCGTGTCACTAATGCCACGTCGATGTCACTGATGCCACCAAGTCTTAGGATATAAAATAGACAGTCACTCAAGAAAAAAATGACTGGTTGACGATCAAACACACAAGAATAAGCTCACAACCAGGGGCTTAGCAAAGAGGGGCATCCTAGACCCCAACTCACCCCAAATTTAAAATGCGTATAATTTTAGTGAAAAAAATATTGGTGTAATTTTTTTCCTCAAAAATATTCTTTGTATCGGTCTAAAACATCTCCAACCTTTACCCAACTAATTACTATAAAGAAAAACAACCATATATTTTGTCCAAAAACTCCAATCACAAAATGAACATAAAAATCAGAATTAAATTAAAAGAAACTAGCAAAGTGAACATATTAAAGGGAATTTTTTTGAATCTTCTAATTCCTAGCTAGAGTCCGCCATGATCTCATTTTTTTTGTCCAGAATCCACCTCCATAATAGGGGTGTTTGGAACTGATTCTGTTTCTGCTTCTTTTTTAAAGCAGAATCAGAATCAGAATTAGTTTTCAGAAGATGATGGTCTCCTCCAACTTCTAAAAAAAACTGATTCTAGGAGTAAATTAGAGAGTACCAGAATCACTTCTGTGCTTTCACCCAAATACTCCAACTTTTGTTTCTGCTCCCTGAAGGAGCAGAAACAGTTTTAAGAATCGGATCTAAACACCCCATAGTCTGACTCCTTCGACCAACTATTTTTCATGCATCGCCGTTCAAGATCACCATTTTGAAGCTCTCCCAAGCCAACACCCGACCCCGTAGATTTCCGTGTCTCATTTCAGTTATAAACTGGTCGCATGCACTATCGGTGATAAGTGATAACAAAAGTAGCCACCAATAATGTGTGACTTGAAACGCTTACAAAAATTAACTGTTTTAATGGTATTAAAATTTGAGTCATATTAAAATTTGAGTCATATTCTCAAAATATGACTCATTCACTCTTATTTTGAAAAGATATAATCAACTTGTTCTTTTAGTAGGACCTAATAAGTCCTATATATTTGGTGAATAAACATAATTAGTCCCATTTTATACTTTGTAGATGTTCAATAGTACAAAAAGTGTATCGTAACATCATAGAAATTTATACAATATACGGAGTAGTATCTATTGTAACATTATTATACTTTCTCCGTTCTTTTTTAATTGCAACGGTCCACTTTTCACGTTTGCCAACGCACAAGTTTGACCATTAATATCTTTCATTCTGTATTAGTAAAAAAATTAAAAAATATATATTATGAAAATTTAAAGTGAGAGGAATTTAACAATATTTTTTTTTCAAATTTAATTTTTAATACATTAATAAATAAAATAGAGTCAAAGTAGAACATGTGAATAGTGTAAAAAGTCCAACGTTGCATTTAAAAGAGAACGGAGGTAGTACAAAAAATGCTACAATAAAATGATACGGAGTACATATCTACAATACATCTATTCAGGGGCGGATGTGGAGGGGTGGCCAATCAGGTCACGGCGCGACCCAAATTTTAAAATTGCTTATATTTTTAATGTAAAAATTTATGTGTAAAACTTTTTCTGTAAACATGTTTTGTACCGATCTAGCCCAACTCTTACTCCTAATTATGCCCCTACATCTATTGCAACATGGTAAACGTTGCTCTAGTGGTTTTAGTTTTGGAGCAAATATCCGTACGTGTTGGTTTACAAAAGAAAGAGAAACCTATCACTATTGAGGGGGTGTACGTTTATATGGTTTGTTGTTTTGCTTAAGCGTGACTAATAAGCAAGGAATATTCCTTGATGATTAATTATATTCTCCAGTCGTATTATTAGCCTCTAAGAATATGTTGCTATCACACCAAAACAGTGGAGAAAAATATTGAAAGTGAGACACTGGAACCAGCTTGTTCTTGAGGATTAAAATCAATAAAGTGACTAATTTAGTTGGGGAAGAAATAGTTGAATTACTAAAATATCAAATCATTTAAATGCATTTTTACTAATTTTATTAAAGATATATACATATTCAAAAACAAAGTTTATCATTTTCAACAACTTGAACTAAAAATGTCATAAACTTTACTTATGACGTGTATTCTTTACTACAAAAATCACAATTAAGTTAGTAAGATATGTAAAGTAACAACACAGACTGCTTAAAAAGCTACTTATTAATTCAAACATGTGCTTATAATATTGCTTACTAGGCATATCACCCTTATGTTTTAGTAAGTAGCACTTAAAACTTTATCAATTTTCACATTTACCTTCACATTTTTATAAAAATATACTTCTTTCGTTCTTAAATGAGTGCAGCATGTTGAATTTTAAACTATTCACATGTTTCACTTTAACTACAATTTATTTATTAATGTATCACAATGAATTATATTTTTAAAAAGTATTCTCAACATTTTTCTTATTGTAAATTATCAAAATTTGATTTTTATAATTTTTTAGTAATAGAGGATTATACACAATCACATACTACGTATGTTAATGGTCAAAGTTGTGTATCAGCAAACGTGGAAAGTATACTATTGCACTTATTTAAGAATGGAGGAGTATTACAAAATGTGTATACACACACATATTACACGTGGTGACGTGACATGGATATATATAAAATATTATGTATAATATCATATATACAATATTATGTATATACATTTATACGTGTGCCTATATATAAATATATATTATATTATATTATATTATATTATATTATATTATATTATATTATATTATATTATATTATATTATATTATATTATATTATATTATATTATATTATATTATATTATATTATATTATATTATATTATATTATATTATATTATATTATATTATATTATATTATATTATATTATATTATATTATATTATATTATATTATATTATATTATATTATATTATATTATATTATATTATATTATATTATATTATATTATATTATATTATATTATATTATATTATATTATATTATATTATATTATATTATATTATATTATATTATATTATATTATATTATATTATATTATATTATATTATATTATATTATATTATACTCCCTCCGTCCCAGGGAGAAGTTCCCGGGTTGACTTTCACACATATTTAGGAAATAAAGTTACTGAGGGGTAAATTTTACTGTTTGGCACTGTTTCGACACTGTTTGGCACTGTTACGACACTGTTGGGCACTGTTTTGCACTGTTTCACACTGTTTTGATGTAGGATAACTTTCCATTTAGAGAAATGGGAACTTTTTGTTGGGACTACCAAAAAAGGAAAGTGGGAACTTCTCCCTGGGACGGAGGGAGTATTATATTATATTATATTATATTATATTATATTATATTATATTATATTATATTATATTATATTATATTATATTATATTATATTATATTATATTATATTATATTATATTATATTATATTATATTATATTATATTATATTATATTATATTATATTATATTATATTATATTATATTATATTATATTATATTATATTATATTATATTATATTATATTATATTATATTATATTATATTATATTATATTATATTATATTATATTATATTATATTATATTATATTATATTATATTATATTATATTATATTATATTATATTATATTATATTATATTATATTATATTGTTGGGATGTATTATCCCGGCCTATTATTGTTCAGGAGCCCAAGACAGTATCCAGTACGGAGCCCGAGCAGCTAGGTCCATTTCGGCCCATTCTGGCCCACTTTGGCCATTAGACCCGGCATCGGCCCATTTGGCCCATTAGGGTGGAGAGCACCCTTCCCCTTTCCCCTATAAATATGAGGCTTCCCTCCATGTTTTGGGGATCCTTTTTTAGCTTCATCTTCCTCATTCTTTTAGACTTAGCTCAATACTCCATTAATGGGAGCTTGTACAATGTAATTGTGAGGAGAGTCCTAATGAGAAAGAGAGGGCTTGGACATTAGCCTAAAAAGTCCCGTGGTTTTCTCCCTTTCGGGTTTCCACGTAAAAACTGAGTGTTCATACATATATTTACTATATCGTGTTGGATTAAACTGAACACTGGCACCGTCTGTGGAAATCTGTCCAAAAAGATTCGTGTGTTCTATTGTTCTTGAGTTTCTACGAAAAATTCATACGAAGTGGACTGATTCTAGCAAAAATGAAAAAGGAAGAATCTGGAATTTTGGTTTGGGGAAGCTCTGGATCTGCCGCCAGCAGCTCCGTCCAACAGACCGAGGAAGAAGAAAAAGGAAAGAAAGGTTCTGGGAAAAAAGAAGAAGGGATGAACTGATGAAGTCCAGATCTGGAATTTTGCAGACCGTGGCCGGAGCAGCCGTCCGTACCACCGAGCGCTCCACCAAGAGCTCGCTGATATACGATGTAAAAGCCGCCTAGCTTTTCCGGCCCTCGTCATCGCTAGCAGCGCCGCTCTACGCCTCTGTCGCGGTGCGCCCGCCGGCCTCAGCTCCCCCTCGCTGCTCGAACCTCAGAGAAGGTCCACCATTAATGGCCGCTGAGAGCTTCAAGAGTGACAACCATAAACCAGTGCACCCCCACGGCTCGAGGTTAGGGAAGTTTCGCCGGTTATGCCGGAGTCCTGGCTGGCTACCACGCCACCGGTCTTTGTCGCTCCGCCGCTAATGCCGCCTGAGGCAGCTTTGTCCTGGCCGTCATCAGCCGCTGCTGCGTTGCCACCGCTGCATTGCGCACTACGTGGGCTCCCTTCGACCAGCTACAACGGCTGAGTAAGGTAGGGGTAGCTGCCAGCTTGCAAAATGTGAAGGCTGGATGATTGGAGGCTTTTTGGCAATTTTGACCAAGTCAAAATCAGCAAGGATGAGCAAATTGTTTTCACAAAACCCCCTGGCCGAGTATCAACTTGAAGCTAAGTATTCAATCTCCGAATTCCAAATTAAAGTACTTGGCTGATAGCTTTAAAATAGGAAGAAATATTAGTCGGTAGTATTGCTAGTATTTTTATCACCATTATTTACTAGGGATTAAAACCCCCGAAATTAAATAATGAGAGCGATGCTCTAAGTGATAATTAGTTTCACCGTCATTTAAATTTAATGACCAGATGTTGTGAGCCTGTGGGCCCGCTCCTGATCGGCTTTAATTAGCGAACGGAGTATACTTGAATGGCCTTTGATAGGAAAGTATCATTGCTATTACCGGTTATATCACTATTATTTATTAGGGATAAATGTCCCGAATTAAATAATGCTGAGCGAGGCTCAAGTGATGGTTAGTTCAGCTAACATTTTATTAAGTATTTAATTTCTAGTGGCCCCGATGGCCCACTCTCGATCAGCTTGATTAGCGATCTGAGCGTCTCCAGAGGGTAGTGCCCCGATGATGCGTTTTAATTTGGGGGGTTACGCATTAGTCCGCACGACACCGACTGCTCGAGCGACGATCGTACCCTAGTACCATCTACGCCATTAGGCGCGAAGTGACTATTGCCAAACGCAGCCTGTGGGGCCCGAAGGCACCAAAGCGCTCGACCTCCTTTTTCCGAGGGCAGTGCGACTAACTTGGGTCTGAGTTGAAAACTCACAGACCGGTGAATATTTCTATGTGACGTTCGGTGGGCTGCTAGTTGGCCCCGCCGCGAGCTACTACGTCCATTAACCCCGCACGATGAGCCGGGCCGAGGGTCACGGTAACCCATAGGCCGGTAATCGTGGGTGTTAGAAAGAAAGCCATTCAGATGGTTATGTGTGTATACATATTGTCGGGCCGTGCGGCCCGTTACCATGCTTATTGCGCAGCTGAAGCCGCTCGACGCGCTCGAGCGAAATGATTAAAAGACGATCGGCCTAAGTCTCAAAGACGTTCAGGGCCAGCTAAAGTGGAGACCATCACGGCTGAGAGCCGATGGACGAGCATCTCCACCCAGAGGTCGAGGGCCTAGAGGAGACCACCAAGGTTGAGAACCGTGGGACGAGCATCTCCACCCCAGAGACCGATGGCCTAGGAAGAACACCTAGAGGCCGAGGGTCTAGAGGCGAATGCCATGACAGAGAACCGTGAGACGATCACCCGTCATTCAGAGGCCGAGGGCTTAGAAGAGATCGTCACAGCCGAGGGCCGTCTGACGCCATCATTACATCATGACCGGGCCCTCGGCACGACATGATCATCATATTTGAAGACCGGCCTCGTCCCCGCACTGCGCGGATGAGGACCGTTGCCTGGATTTCAGGTCGGCCTATCATTGCCGACATCATTGTATCACGATCGACCTCTCGGCACGGCGTGATTATCTTATTTGAAGACCGGCCTCGTCCCCGCACTGCGCGGATGAGGACCGTTGCTTGATTTCAGATCGGCCTCTTATTGCCGGCATCATTACATCATGACCGGTCTCTCGGCACGGCATGATTATCTTATTTGAAGACCGGGCTCATCCCCGCGATGCGTGGATGAGGACCGTTGCTTGATTTCAGGTCGGCCTCTCATTGCCGACACCATTATATCATGACCGGCCTCCCGGCTCGGTGTGCTTCCCATATTAGAAGACCGGTTTCATCCCCGCTCCTCGCGGATGACGGCCGTTGCTTGTTTTCTCAGATCGGCCTCTCATTGTCGATGTTATTATATCACGACCGGCCTCCCGACACGGCGTGTTTATCTTTTGAAGACCGGCCTTGTCCCCGCCCCTCGCGGACGAGGACCATTGCTTGATTCTTTCAGGTCGGCCTCTTACTGCCGACACTATCATATTATGTTCGGCCTCTCGGCACGACATATTTATCTTTTGAAGACCGGTTCCATCCCCGCGATGCGTTGGATGAGAGCCGTTGCACGGATATATCGGCCTGACCGGACACTATTGCCATCTCCTCATCAGGACCGACTGCTCAGCGACATTATGATCATTGTTTGTCGGCTCCCAATGCTGACCCTCTTGAGTTTGCGATCGGGCTCACGACTCCTCTCCAGGAGGGTGACCATCGCCTTCGCATGACGACCAGCTATTCTATCGCCTCATCATTATATTCGTTCGCTATGCCACCACCATTATGTGTGACATCCCGTGATCCCTGCGAGTTTCTTGGATACCGAATGTCTTCTTCGAGGTAGGAAGATCGGTAGGACCACAGACCAGGGACGAACAAAGAAGAGCTAGGGAATCTCGATGTAGATAAACCTGTTCCTCCTTGCGAGTTTCGCGGATACCGAACGTCTCTTCAAAGCAAGAGCGCCGGTAGGACCAAGAACCAAGGACGAACGAAGAATATAGATTGCCTCCCTCAAACAAAAAAAAAAGATGGGGAGAAGAGGAGGTGAGCTCCTATGTGGAAGGGAATCTTGCCCGGGCGTGCCAGATCTTCTCCCACCGTCGAAGACGAACGCCTCTCGATGTAGAGGTTAGTAGAGACGCGGAGGGGGCTAGACGAACCAAGGGAGCTTTGCCAAGATAAACCTGTTTATCCCACAACGACCATGGATCGATGGACGTGGGATAACAAAGCTGGGAACCCGTGAGGGTAAACCAGTTCGTCCCTGCGAGTTCCTTGGGTACCGAACGTCTTCTTCAAAGCAAGAGACGCCGGTAAGACTAAAAGGACCACGGACGAACAAAAAAAAGGGGGAATCTCGATGTAGATAAACCTGTTCCTCCTTGCGAGTTTCGAGGATACCAGACGTCTCTTCGAAGTAAGGACGCCGGTAGGACCAAGAACCAAGGACGAACGAAGACTAAAAGACTCCAAAAAAAAAGATGCTAGAAGAGCACGGAGCAAAGAATGATTTTATCCCTTGGCGCTATTGGCCGGGAAGTACAAACTGGAAAACATATGTAAAGAATAATTACAAAACTTAAGTACGAAAAATGAAGTGGCCGACGACGATCGGCTAACATCAGGCTTTCTTTTGCCTTGGACGAACGATACCAGTTCCCCAGATCAGGCAGAGGGACGACGCCCAGGTCCACCCTTCCTCCCAGGATGAAGTCCTGACAGACGATCGGCTTCTCATAGCCGGCCAAGACGGACCGCGCCTAGATTTCACGGTTTGGCTCGCCCATTCTTATGCAGTACGATCGGCCCCTCAGCGCCATCGTACCCAGCTCCATGGATCAGACACGAAGAACCAGTTCTTTCCCGTAGTCTGTTGCGTGCCGAGTGTACACCGCTTAGCGGTCCGTACATAGGACCACGGATACGGTAGACGAACGAAGACTAGCTCTATGGATCAGACACGAAGAACCAGTTCTCCACCGGAGTCTGTTGCGTGCCGAGTGTACACCGCTTAGCGGTCCGTGCATAGGACCACAGATACGGTAGACGAACGACGATCAGCTCCTCAGATCAGATAGGGGGGACATCGCCCAGATTTATTTCAGGCTCACCATTCCTTCCCGAAATGGAGTCCTGCAGACGATCGGTTTCTCACAGCCAATCAGGATAGAGACTTCACATCACCAGCACGGCCGAGGGCCGTGAGACGATTACCACTCACCGACAGGCCGAGGGCCATGAGATGATCATCACTATTTTTCTATATCACGATCGGCCCCTCAGCGCCATCGTGTCCAGACTCACGGTTCGGCTCGCCCATTCCCTCCAGGATGGCGACGACCGTCTTATGCAGTACGATCGGCCCCTCAGCGCCATCGTACCCAGCTCACGTTCAGCTCGTCCATCCCTTCCAGGGTGGCGACGAACGTCTTATGCATCACGATCGGCCCCTCAGCGCCATCGTGTCCAGAGCCACGGTTCGGCTCGTCCATCCCTTCCAGGATGGCGACGACCGTCTTATGCAGCACGATCGGCCCCTCAGCGCCATCGTACCCAGCTCACGTTAGGGTCGCCCACCCCTTTCAGGATGGCGACGAACGTCTCATATGCAGCACGATCGGCCCCTCACCGCCATCGTGTCCGGATTCACGGGTCGGCTCGCCCATTCCCTCCAGGATGGCGACGACCGTCTTATGTAGTACGATCGGCCCCTCAGCGCCATCGTACCCAGCTCACGTTCAGCTCGTCCATCCCTTCCAGGATGGCCACGAACGTCTTGTATGCAGCATGATTGGCCCCTCGGTGCCATCATGCCTGGTTCGTGTTCGGCTTCGCCCATTCCCTTCAGGATGGCGACGAACGTCTTATGCAGTACGATCGGCCCCTCAGCGCCATCGTACCCAGCTCACGTTCAGCTCGTCCATCTCTTCCAGGATGGCGACGAACGTCTTGTGTGCAGCATGATCGGCCCCTCAGTGCCATCATGCCTGATTTCACGGTTCGGCTCGCCCATTCCCTTCAAGATGGCGACGACCGTCTTATGCAGTACGATCGGCCCCTCAGCGCCATCGTACCCAGCTCACGTTCAGCTCGTCCATCCCTTCCAGGGTGGCGACGAACGTCTTATGCATCACGATCGGCCCCTCAGCACCATCGTGTCCAGAGCCACGGTTCGGCTCGTCCATCCCTTCCAGGATGGCGACGACCGTCTTATGCAGTACGATCGGCCCCTCAGCGCCATCGTACCCAGCTCACGTTCAGCTCGTCCATCTCTTCCAGGGTGACGACGAACGTCTTATGCATCACAATCGGCCCCTCAGCGCTATAACGTCTGATTTCACGGTTCGGCCCTTCAGGATGGCGACGAACACCTCTTATGCAGCACGATCAGCGCTTCAGCGCCATCGTGCCTAGCTCACGTTAGGGTCGCCCACCCCTTTCAGGATGGCGACGAACGTCTCATATGCAGCACGATCAGCGCCCCAGTGCCATTGTGTCTGGCTCACGTTAGGGTCGTCCATCCCTTTCAGGACGGCGACGAACGTCTCTTATGCAGCACGATCAGCGCCCCAGTGCCATCGTGCCTAGCTCACGTTAGGGTCGCCCACCCCTTTCAGGATGGCGACGAACGTCTCATATGCAGCACGATCAGCGCCCCAGCGCCATCGTGTCTGGCTCACGTTAGGGTCGCCCATCCCTTTCAGGACGGCGACGAACGTCTCTTATGCAGCACGATCAGCGCCCCAGCGCCATCGTGTCTGGCTCACGTTAGGGTTGCCCATCCGTTCCAGGATGGCGACGAACGTCTCTTATGCAGCACGATCAGCGCCCCAGCGCCATCGTGTCTGGCTCACGTTCGGGTCGCCCACTCCTTCCAGGATGGCGGCGAACGTCTCTTATGCAGCATAATTGGCCTCTCGGCGGCATCATGTCTAGTCCATCTTCGGCTCCGCCCATGCCATCCCGGGTGGGGGACCCGTCTTGTGCAGCATGTCTGATTGTCTGCCTCTCGGCGCTGACATACCCGGTTATCGATGAGAGCCACCACTTTCTATCACATCTCACATTCCTTCTCTCATACATTGCACCCATACATTACATGCATTCATGCATTCATGCATCATACCTCATACATTCATACATACACACGTGCATCATGATTTGACAGTACCGCGACGTCGGTTTGTAGATGCATGGACCTCTAAGCTTCTCCGATTGGAAAGCTCGAGTCAGAGTCCTTTACTCCCGCCTGATGCATTCAGGGGGAGTGTGCCCGTGGAGGAGCACCCTTCGCCCGACCCCGTCGGGAAGGGGGGTGCCTCACCGGCAGATTACGTTCAGGAGTGCAGACACCCACTCATATATTATGATTATTCGAAGACACAGTTTCCAGCAAGACAGTGGAAGAGCGCAGGCAAGAGTATACTTTCTCGAGCAGATTCGCACGCTCACTACTCAAGAAACTGGGGGACTTGTGTTGGGATATATTATCCCGGCCTATTACTGTTTAGGAGCCCAAGACAGTATCCAGTACGGAGCCCGAGCAGCTAGGTCCATTTCGGTCCATTCTGGCCCACTTTGGCCATTAGACCCGGCATCGGCCCATTTGGCCCATTAGGGTGGAGAGCACCCTTCCCCTTTCCCCTATAAATATGAGGCTTCCCTCCATGTTTTGGGGATCCTTTTTTAGCTTCATCTTCCTCCTTCTTTTAGACTTAGCTCAATACTCCATTAATAGGAGCTTGTACAATGTAATTGTGAGGAGAGAGAGTCCTAATGAGAAAGAGAGGGCTTGGACATTAGCCTAAAAAGTCCCGTGGTTTTCTCCCTTTCGGGTTTCCACGTAAAAACTGAGTGTTCATACATATATTTACTATATCGTGTTGGATTAAACTGAACATGTATTATATTATATTATATTATATTATATTATATTATATTATATTATATTATATTATATTATATTATATTATATTATATTATATTATATTATATTATATTATATTATATTATATTATATTATATTATATTATATTATATTATATTATATTATATTATATTATATTATATTATATTATATTATATTATATTATATTATATTATATTATATTATATTATATTATATTATATTATATTATATTATATTATATTATATTATATTATATTATATTATATTATATTATATTATATTATATTATATTATATTATATTATATTATATTATATTATATTATATTATATTATATTATATTATATTATATTATATTATATTATATTATATTATATTATATTATATTATATTATATTATATTATATTATATTATATTATATTATATTATATTATATTATATTATATTATATTATATTATATTATATTATATTATATTATATTATATTATATTATATTATATTATATTATATTATATTATATTATATTATATTATATTATATTATATTATATTATATTATATTATATTATATTATATTATATTATATTATATTATATTATATTATACGGAGTATTATACTCCTATTATATTATGTTATATTGTAATATATTACTCCCTCCGTCCCACTAACAATGGGACAAGAGGGAGTCACACGCAAACCAATAAAAAGTGATTTATATGGTGATATTAAATTGATAAGTAAAAATGAAGTAAAAATAATTTAGAGCCACACAAACTATACCAAATTTGGTATGAGAAAATCTTAGTGGGACGGACCAAAACGGTAAAATATGACAATCTTAGCGGGATGGAGGGAGTATATTATATAACATACACTGATACACGTGTGTGCGTGTGTGCATATGCATGTCTAAATATGTATAAGGTTATTTTGAACATTTTAATATTAAACCGTTTTTAAAATCATGTGAAGTAATCATGTGTTTATAATAGAGAGAATTACCTAAATAAGACTAAAAGAATGTAGAATTGCAAAAATAGGACATAATGTTTTAAGTTTCCTTAATAGGACTGATTATTTGTATTTGGACCAAAATAACCTTCTTAATTCTTGATGCATTGATTTGCTGGGTGCGATCAATCTCGCTTGCGATGGACGCATGTCTCTGCCCAGGTAAGTGTCGTCATCCTTTTCTTTTGCTCCTCCCTTAACTTCTTCTCAAGCTCTCATGTTTTCTTCTTCTATAACTTTTCTATTTTCTTCTTCTTTTGGATTTCCAAATTTTTATTAATCCTCAATTTTATTTATTAATTTCGATATTTGTATTTGAATTTTATTTATTCATCAGCAAAATGACACTTTTAATTTATAATATGAGAATGTCAAAATTATTGGTTATTTGAAAAAACTGTCACATTTCTGGAAGTATATTTATCAGGGTGACAATCTGAAAATGTCATTCTTATGGCATTTTATGGCATACGTGAGAATGTCATGTTTTGAAAAAAAAAATGTCACCTGTAAGGCAATACTATGGTAGTCTCACTTTGAAATTATAACATTTGTAATGTCACCTGTAAGGCAATACTATGTCATAAAGTAACAGATTTATGTCATAGTATGGTGACAGTTTCAAAGAAGAAATTTCAAAAAGGAAAAAAATGTCATTTTCATGACATTTTTAAAACAAAAATGACATTTCAGATTGTTATCCTCGTAAATGTACTGCCACAAACATGTTTTTTTCAAATAACCAATAATTTTGACATTCTAAGATTAAAAGGTGTCATTTTCCTAATTAAATAAAATTTAAATCCAAATAAAAAAAAAAACAAAATTCAAATAAAAAAATCCAAAGAAGAAGAAAACATGGAACCAGAAATTTGAAGAAGATTAGAAGAAGTAGAAGAAGAGGAAGAAGAAGAGAGGAGGAGGAGGAGGAGGTATTTAGCTATGGTTGACGACAGAGCTGGAGTCCATGAGAGGAAGGGATGTGTAGAGTTGGTGCCATTAATTGTAGTCGACTGGGAGAAAGCAGCGATAAAGGGGGCAGAGTAGCGATGAAGGCCAGGGGGCAGAGCAGCGATGAATTGCAGAAGAGAGAAATAGGGTTTAATTAAAGAAGGGCAAAACTGTAATCTGGAGTCCTATTTGGAGAATAAAAAACTTAAAGTCCTATTTTAGAGTTTAATCCATGTTTTAGTCCTATTTAGATCAATTTCATTTTATAATACTGTTTATATTATGTGCATCGATAGTAAGAAATGTCTTAACAAACACCGCTTAGTAACCTGTGAAGTAAACATGTTACAATAAACATTAACTCGTTGGTGCCTAAAAAATAAGGCTGTAGAATGCTATTCAATTGTGTTTTGTGAACTTTTTAAGTGTGTTTTTCATGGGCGTGTTCAGTAAAGGAAGGTGAACATAACCTTTCCACAGCCTCCTATTAGCTTTGAATCCCTCTGATGTAGCAATCAATTATTTCCTGTATAAAAATGCTAATCCTAATTCTTTCATTTTTCATCTATTCACAAACTTAATTTTCCCTTTATAATGAAGAATATGTAGTTTGTATTATTTCTCTCTCATATGTCTACAACTCCCAATCACACAATTTTCACTTTGATAATGTATATCTACATAATCAAATCTTGAGTTAATAGTGGGATTTTGGACGAAGGGAATACAGTTTAAAACTTAAAGTGTCACTCTATCACTTAAAGTGATCTTCGTGTGTCTATGGAATCAGTTATACTACATCGGTAGAGTAGATCTAGTTACAGGCCTATCAATGAGTCGAGTTTAGTTCAGAACATGGTATTTCAAACCCTATTCTCATAATTTATTAAAGTGAAGAATAAGAGTAGCGAGGTCGAGAGTTAGAGTTTTCTCTTGCTTGTCGAGAGCGTGTGGAAGTGCGGATCAATTTTTCTTTGGCATTTTAATTGAGTGTAGGATCAAGAAAGGATAACCATGACTTCTTTAGATGATCTGATCTAGAGCAGCGTTGTCCCATTCCAGCAATTGAGGAGGATGTCGAAGGATTAGTTATTGGCAGATCAACATGGGTAGAGGGCAGTGACTGTAAGAAAAGGTGGCACGGGCGACGAGCAGAGGAGTAGAGGTGAAAGGATGAGCAAGGGAGAAGAAAGATCAACAGTCCACCCCTCCTGAACCGCCGCCATGGAACGATCGATGAGCTAGGGTTTGGAAGATTTATCGGTTATTTTATTTTTTATAGTCTTATTTTTACGTTGTGTTTTACGTTGTTCTGTTTTTTTTGTTAATATCCTTACTTTTAGTTCTATGATAATGATTGACAATTCTGTTAAATATCCGATCTATGATAATGGTTAATCATAAAGTACATCATTTCAGATCGTTCTAATTTGTCACGAGAAGAGTTGTTCTCACGTGATAGGACCCTACATATTAACAAGAGATAATTTTGGATGGGTTATTTTTAGATAGCTCCCCTGAGGTATGAACATTTGACACTTTGAGATGGATTATGCATATATTATTGAAGTGCTCCCTAGTTCACTATCCTATGATTCTACCAAATCTCAAATAGAATAAAGAAAATAATTGAATAGCCTTGATCAAATTTCAATGCGTATACTGCAGGAGAACCAGTCTTAAATGCACACTACTTCGCATTTTACATTAATAAAAATATCATGAACACTACTTCGTATTTTACATTAATAAAAATATCGTATTCCCTCCGTATTTTAAAGATCACTTTAGGTTTTGACATAATATTTAAGGAAGAAATAGTAGAGGTTATGAATAGTTTAAAAAAAGAAAGAGATAGGGTAGAAAATTATGAAAGAGAAGATAAAATAGAAAAAGTAAAGATAATTGAGTAATTTTAGATAAAAAAAACTTACCACAAAAGGAAACTGTAGCAAAGTTCTAAATACATTCTAAATGAGAAAGTGTATCGAACTTTAAAATACGGAGAAAGTATTTGTTGTTGGACAAATTGACAATAATAATATCACATTTCTTTGGTCATCGCTCGTAAAATCAAAATAGTTTCACTTTTTCTCGCCTTCTTTCTTTAATCTCTTACTAGTTGATGATATGTTATTTCACTAATTTCAGGTTATATATTTTTCCTTTAAAAACTATTAAATGAAAAATCTCAATTTTCATCGATGTTCTCATACTACTCTCATACATCTTTTTTCAGTATTCTCCATAGAAGTTATTTATTTTTATTTCTTGAATTGATGCTTTTTAATCCTTTTGCGCCTTCTAATTTTTATTTTTATTTCCATGTATATGTATTCTATTTTCATGCTATCAGGACAGTTTTTTTAGGGGGATTCCCACTTAGGCATGGCAATGGGTCGGGGCGGGTCGGGTACTGTAAGACCCGGACCCGCCCCATGACTTAGCGGGACGGGTCCGCCCCGCCCCGTGACTTGCACGGGTCCAAACTTGTTGACCCGTGACCCGCCCCATGCGGGGCGGGGCGGGACGGACCCGCCCCGCCCCGCCCCGCCGTAATCTAATTAGCTAATATGTATTTCTATTTGTGGGAAGTTGTTACCAATTGAATCTACATAAAGTTTATCTCTGAATAATAATTAAAAATTAATATATTAAATCAAATTCATGATACGCTAAAAATTTCAAAAATTGAGGAAAAATTACTCAGACTTGAATAGTTAATCTATTTAATTATATTAATAATTGAATATATGTATTAAAATGCTATATATATCGCATACATTGATAATCTGTCGTTCATCTTATTCTAATATATATATATATATATATATATATATATATATATATTAATATATTATAAGATCAAAAATTTAATATTTATTGTATACACACATATGAATGTTGAAGTATATTTGTAGTATAATTTAAGAAAAAATATGTACACTTTTATATTGAGCGGGGCGGGTCAGGGCGGGTCGGGGCAGCACGGGTCAATACTAAGACCCAGACCCGCCCCATTGTATA